TGTTAACTTGTCTAACTAATCTTAATGAACTGAAGTCTATGGAATGGTTTTGTTGCAAAATATGATGGGCGACTGCTGATTTTTCAGGTCTTCCATATTTTAAGTGTGGCTATGTCCATAATATCTTGCATCGCAGTCTTTACATTCAATTTCGTAAATTCTAGACTTTTCCGAATTCTCAACTTTGTCTTTTGGACTTCCCAAAAGGCTCTGTAGTGTATGACTTGTTTTAAAAACCACCTTCATACCTAGTTCCTTGAAAATTTCCAAAGTTCTTCGTATATTGGTGGTATGGAACTGAAATGTATTTATCTTGGTTTTTGTCCTTTCTGAAAGTCGAGATTTCGTTCATTCTCAACCTTAACTTCTTTTTCCTAATTATGTCATCTACAATACCTCTCGGGAAACGTTAGTGGCTGCTATTTCCTGTATTACTGATTACCTACCTGTATGATGTACCTGAATAGTATAAGTAGCTTTAGTTTTGAGTAGTTTTTAGTTTTATCTTCCTCTTGAAGATGATCACTTGGTGATCGAAACACGTGTCGAGGTGTAAAAATAACGATTTCGTGTTGGGAAAAAACTCCAGTAATATTCATGTTTTCACTGTCTGCCTAACACCTAACTAATCTTATTATTATTTACATCTGTAGGTAACGATTCGAAATATTGTAACTAAGGGCATAAAGGTAATATATCTATCTATCTATCTATAAAATTTTATTACAACTACGGTTCGGAGGAGAGGAGAAATACAACTTAATTTTACCTCAATTCCGTACCACCGACGCCAATGGATTCGAAAACGAAACCTTGGTCAGTAAACTGATATGCCCCTCCATTTTCTTCTCGAAAAATTGGATTTGAAGACAGTCCACCTCAGGAATTGACAGAAACACACGTTAAATTTTGCTCCAGCTCTCAAAATGGAAGTCATCCTCCTTGGTCCAAACGTTCCCTTAAAAATGTGTATGTTACTGGCTAAGGAAAGACAAATGAAAGTTCTGAAGTATTACGATCCTGATTCGACTCACAATATTACGCTTATCATCACGTTCATCGTACTGACCATATGTCATTATTTCGGAGCAATTGGACTTATTGCAGGTAAATTTTCACCTTTCATTAATGAAAACATCATGCTAGAAATCTCACGGTAAAAATAAGACTCCGTTAATCCTTAGCTCGCGCAAGTTTTGATTTCTAAGAGTTATCGTTCGCGAGAGGTGAAAGTTGGTTGATGCAAAAACACATTTCATCATACAGTGTGAAACAAATAATTTTTTTCTCGGAATATGTATACGAAATGTTTAAAAATCGAAATGAAATTGAAATTTTTCACATAAGGGATATAACTGAACATTTTCATTATTCATTCTCATTGTATGTCATCATTTTTCATTTTGAATAGTTAAACCACATTTTACAATAATTATTATCATCAGTTAGACAGTATTTACCGAAAGATATTAATGTAGTGTTGAATATGGATAATGAAGACAAAAAAATGTGAAACGTCTGAACAGAAATATGTTGACCATCCTTCCCGGTTATCTATTCATTCAATGGTAAAGTATACGTACAACGGTTTGGTATTCATGAATTTGGAAAAATGCCCGAAGAAATTGAATTTTCTATATTCAATTGTATAAATAATAATTATACAGGGTGAAGCAATAATTGTGACACTTTGGCTTCAATGGAATATTTATTGCAGTTTTGTTTATAAAACTCAACCTGCGTCAATTGGGGAATTGCGAGAAAGAATTACGCAAGCATGTCGCGCCATTACTAGAACAACATTCGCCAAAGTTCGTGCAGAATTTGAAATTAGGCTGTATTATTGTTTACAAAACAATAGAACCCACTTTGAACATTTACTTAATTGACATTTTTAATAAATTTGCAGTTCAACAAGAACCTCAATGAATATTCCATTCCAGCCAAAGTTTCACAATTATTGTTTTCCCCTGTACAATTATTATTTATACCACTGAATAGCATTTTTTATAGTATTTTCAATGATGTAGGTATTTGCAATTTAAACTTTTTGTGTTTTGGTGGGTGGGGCCTAGGAGGTTGATGGGGGTGAGTTCTCTTTTATGTCACTTTAGTTCCCCCTCACTATCCTAGAAACGATTTCAAGCATTTTTTATATCAGTTTCCGTTCGTGAGATATAGCCCATTGTAAGTTTTAAAATTGACATACTGTATATCATTGTTAGTAGCGTTTTGTTATCAAGATTTCTGAGTTGGTAGAATTTAAAAGATAATTTACTAAGTCTTTTAACGCTCTGGTTTACATGTTCGTCCCATAGTAGACATAAACATAGTCTACATAAACACAAAGATATTTCATGTTGTTAACCTTATCAACTATAGGGCATGTGCATATCATTGGCGGTTTGGCATATAGGTTTGTGTATAGTGAGCTTATTCTTGGAAGATTGATTTTTATTTGAGGGGGTAAACGTTACGTATTTATTTTTAGCGATGTTTAGCACTTATACATCATAATGTTGCAAGTACGTTTATACTACTAAATGCCAAACTCCATTATGATGTTGCCAAATTTCACCTATTGACATCAGTGTTGCCAAGTCCCAAAATATAAATAGTCCCCCATGGTACATTTGAAAAGCTGTACTTACGTCGGTTCTTTTTCATTACTTGATCTACTATTCAGTGTGCACAAATCAATGATGAAATTTGCTGATTATCTTGTTTATGTTCATTTATTCTTCAATGAATTGTTTCAGCTTACTGTTTGTCATGTATCATTCGCTGGAGAAAAAACGAAATAGTCGATGGTGACAAATTTATCGATGAATATCTGTCAAACGATAAAAGATTGGAGTTAGCAAACAAAGTTTATATGAAACCTGTACCAAGAGGCAGCGCAGAAGATAATTTTGCCGCCCTATCACAAGCCGACAAAAGAGAACTATCGATATTAATCAAGGAATTCCTCAAACGAAATGTATGGAACGTTTTGATCCTAGAACAGATTCAATTTCCTGAGAAATGGGAAAAAGATTTAATAAAAAAAAAGACTGAATCGATCTGAATTTTGAAATATAAATGTTTGTCAATTTATCTGTTTAATCGATTCCAAAAGAAGATACGATGGAATTTAAATTTTTTTGTGAAGTACTTCCTTTAGATTTTTAATTAAAATTTGATCCGCAATATTATCACGAATATTTTGTTTCAATTACACCCGAATTCTATTTCACTTAAGTCTGCTGGTAAAAGTCACAAGCTTTTCTGGCCAAAAAATCATGAATTCATAGTTTGAGGTTGGAATTTAATACTTTGAATTCAGAATTTAAAAAAAAAATCAACTTTGTACGAGTTTTTGTTATTTTTGGGCATCTGGAAAACATTCATGCGACAAACCTTTTTTTCACGGACAAAACACAAGCATACTCATCGAGGTTATTGTTTGAAAAAAAATGAAACCGCAGAGCACAAACTTTGAGCCAGCTCCGCTGGGGACCATTTCAGGTTTTTAGAGGTCGGCAGAGCCGTACTCTTACCATCCGACCTGAAAGACCACTCAACACAGTCTAATCGGCTTCGCCAAGAAGCTGGGTTTATTTGGTCGAGTGTTAATAGGTGTGAGCCACAATAAACCCTAGCGGGTTACGGTAGAGGGTCGAATAGACCTACCCACTTTGGACCTAACTCAACCTAACCTAAGTACCTCAAACTTTTTGAAAGGAGTTGCATTTTCCAAAATGAACGTAAGTGCCATCGATACACAAATACATCTATCATACCACCCATGGGACATGAATACCGCAATGCAGTTGCTGCATGAAGACATAGCCTCATTCATTTCTCATCTACGTAGCATTATCTTCAAATCAATGCTAGTAAAAGTTCAGTTCTATCAATGGTACTGAGAGCATATGACCTTGTCTTTCAACAAGGACCACGTCGAGAAAGATAGTGTATGGTACGTACTTCATTGATATCCACGGGAAGCGTCGAAGAACGACTCGTTAGAGACATGACTCATACATTTCCCACTTTTACACACCTTAGAAATTCATACAAAAAACATTATTTTTGTCTTAGCTCACAAAACTATAACACATTGCTTTTAGGGGGGATGATGCAGATAAAGTAGACACCTCATGTAGGTAGTGGATGAAATATGGTAAACGATCGATTTTTGTAGTCCTTCTGTAACCCATGCCACATATTCAATAATTCCCAAGGTCCTGCATGTCATATAAAATAGTCGATTGACAAAACTTCCAGTTCAGCATCGGTGAAGTCTGTCAGAAATTTAGTTCGGAGTATTTCGTTTAATGTTATATCGTCGGTCGGTAGCCAAGCGGTTCGGCGTGGGTGATTTGTTCACTCACTCGAATTGACTGCCGGGTTGATCGGTGGTTCAAGCCCTAGTCTGAACGATCGATCTTCACTTGCTATCATCCAACCCGTGTTAGGAATCACACGTCAAAAGGTGAGACCTCGTTAATGCTTAGCTCGCACAAGTTTCGACTTCTGAGGGTTGTCGTTCGTAGGGGTGCGACAACTGGTTAACGGAAAAGCAGATTTTAAACAGATTTAAACGGATTAAACATTTCATATATTTCAATGATACTCAAACTGTTTGAGGAGTGCCAGATGATGACAGTACTACCAACTGTCGAAAGCGCTCGCAGATAATTAATAGAAGATATAAAGCTTCAAATCCTTTTTATAGAATTTAATATTGAAATATATATATAATTGAAATGCAAAAAAGCGTAAGTTTGCTTAGGTCACGCACTTTGCGACTATCCCAGTCTAAAAACATTATGGCCCGAAGGACTCAAAGTTTGGAGACCCCTGCTCTAGGTTATAGAAATAATATCAATTGGTAATAGTTTCCTCAAGCCTAGTTAGGCCAAAATACCGCAACAAATGCAAACAATGTATTTATGATAAATGTATATGTATTCATGTATGTAGTATTTAACGGAAACGAATGTTCTGTTCTGTTCATAGTAGAAACTACTGGCAAAAATCCAGTACGATGTTCAAAGTTGATATATTTGGTACCAGAGAAAGCCAATGTCTGTGAACCCCAGTGACATTGACATTCGAAAAGTTGTACACATAGAAGATCAGGCCCCAGACAAATCCATTGGATATATGTGATGATTGTCAGACCAATGATAACATACAGAGCAATTTTCTGGTAGCTGAAATCTCTACAACAAAAAGGGGCTTGCCTGGCTATATGTGGTACCATCAACACTATTACTGAGAGCAGATAACACAGATAGTACATGTTCAAGTTGTAGTGCAGGTGTATACAATCGCAGACCCAAGACAGACATGAGACTCAGGAGCGAGTCTACAGAGGAGATGGATGTAGAGTTTACGACTCCAGCTGACTTACCTGTAAATTTAGTTCAGGAGCGAGAGCTTCTCGGCTCCCCAACTCCTGATCCAACAACTGAACCTTAGAAAAAGGTTTCCAGCGAGGCAAATACTGAGTTGTCTCCTCAAGAGCAGGGTACTTTATGAAACCGTCTTGCATCAAATTCTTGAGCGGCGTACGCAGAATCTGTCTCAGGTGGAGGAACAAACCCCCCATGAGCAGGTTAGCAAACGTTTGCGCTCAAGTGATGTTTCACCAAAACCAGAGGCGAAAAAGCCCAGCACAGTTGAATCTAAGGCATCGTCAAGTGTAGCTGACGTGCAAAAACCCTCGTAAAGGATGGTTGTCGTGGGTATCAAGGTGAGAATCTTGCAACTTGACTATTCGACTACCTCATGAACAGAGCATATACTTTCTGCCTGCCACACTGGGGATCGAATCAGGTCTTTAGAGTTACGCAGAGCCATCTGCGTAATTCCAATTTTCTCAAAAACCATTGACACATAGTAATGCGTTGGTGAAAGTCCCGTGACAAAAGAGTTTGTACCCTTTGAATATGGTATGGATAAAACTGTTGATCGTGGATAATTCTCCAAACTGTGGACTGAGTAGAATTGACAGCTTCAGCAATTACTCTTGTGCTTGTTTCTGGATTCTTCTCGAGAGCGTTCAAAACAGCTTCTTAAAACCAGTCCTAACAAATGATAAAATTAGTAGAAGTCTGTTGTCATTTTCATATTTCATCATGACTATTTCATTCGTTCTATTGTATTCTCATTTTTTGTTTCATTGCTTAATATTATTGAATTTTCGCTATTCATTCTAATTTTGTTTATTTGTTCATAGATTTCGAATCATATTTGAATCATAGCAGTGAATGAAAGTCCGAACTTGTGAAATTCAAAATGGCCATCATTATGCAAGATGATGAATCGCCTGAATGCCTATAAAACATCAACATAGTCGTTAGAAGTAGTTTAGGTCATTACTTGATCTTTACTTATCATGGTATTTCATGTAGTTATAAAAATTAGACCAGAGACCCTGTAAAACAAACTCTATTGGCGCTAATGAATTGGATGTTGAAACTAACATAAAAACAACTGTCTAAAAACTACTAAACCTTCCCACAATCAACAACTGTAGACATTATTTGTTAATAATTCGGAAATTAAGTGCATTCAATAATGAATATAGAAGGAATTGCTCTCCATATGATTTATATGGTATCTAGTAACAGGGAACTAAATTTATTATTAATGAATGGTTGCAACATTAAGAGTATATTACATTTCTTGATGTTAGTTCTCCCGTTCACAACATACAAAAATGGATTTCTCATCATGATATTTGGTAAGACTTTCATTTATTTGAGAAAATGAACATATAAATTCAAATCCGAATCGATGAACTTACGCTCATTATCAGAATATCTTTCATTACCTTGTGACAAAACACATCTTTTTGATTTATTTCCATTTTAACTTGTATCGTTTCGCCATCTGGTGAATTTTCTCGGTAACGTATATTAAGTAGCAACGGCTCTCATGCCCTCCGGGATAGGCAATCAATATTTCACTTTGACGGGTTTTTTGCATTTGCAAAGTATTTCAAGTGTCGGGTTTTTTATGAACGACTGTCAAAATTCTTTTCTGGAGACCTGAGTGAAAACGTTTTTGATGCGCCATATTTTTCTTGCTTGCTTTTTAAAGTGAACTAAATTACCTTACTGTGGTCCTCAACGACAAGATTCACCGTCGAGTCCCGTGCCTGTAATTATTTTAGGTAGGTAATGATTTTTATTACTGTAAATGATGTAACACGTGTGTGAAGTTTTTAATAACTACTTTTAACAATTTCATTGACACATTTGTAATTATTTTAGAACTAAGTCAACAACAAAATAAGTACTCTGTCTCCCCCTCAAACCGAAAATAGACTGTTTTGCACACTATCCTTCCTGTGTCTCATTGGATCAGCAGCAACCCCTTTCAAAAAACCATGAGATTGAACCATTAACATCTGGCGACCTACTTTGAACTGTTTTTTCCTGAAGAGACAAGAAAATGTTGTTGGAAAAATCTCCACAAGGCCTGCTGTACAACTTGAGGAATCGGAGGCGGGACCAAGAGAACAGGCCAGAGAATGCAAACGACATTCCTGCAACAGAGAAGGTTCAAAGTAAAAAGTCTGAAAATCAAGGTAACATATCTTTATTAAATATGGAAGGTGCTTCTTCATTACCACTACCAGATTGTCAAAGTAACGAGGGCAACTCCATGAGGTCTTCTTTGTCATTTCACAATCTTCAATTTCAAACAAACGTTTCGAGACTCCATCTTCAGGACGAGGAAACTGCAATATTGCCTGAAAACTTTTCAAGAAGTATTGGGGCACCACAACCTAGTTTATCAAATCAAAGAATAGTTTCAAGAGATGAGTTGGCTAGTCTGATATGTCAGGAAGTCACAAAAGTAATAAATAAACCCCAAATCAACCAAAACTCAAATTCAAATATACAAAAAATACTTCCTAACATCAGCTATGGCATTCCCACCTCAATTGAAAATTTTACTCCAAATAAAAATTTACCTACATTAAATCAAAACTTTCGTGAAGTAGTTTAGGCAATAATGATAATAATGCTCGAACTGTGGCCCCTCAGGCAAAAAATATTACTAGTACAACATATTTATCCAATTTGTATACCCACGAAATGAAATCTGTACAATCATTACCTACTTTTGATAATGAAGGCTCCCTGCACCACTCGACTTTCTTAACTACATAGAAACTTTTTAATACATTTCATCAATGAATATAAACCAATTTACTCTGATCATTAGTCCTCTATTCCAAAAATCTGCAAGACCATGGTTTCAAGCATTTAGAAACTTGTTCACAAATTTTGGTGAGTTTAGACAAGCGTTCTTATCAGTTTTGGGGTCCTAATATTCAACTTCAAATCAAACTGAAATTCGAATCTGCACGTTACAAAGATGCTGATGGTTCATTTGTGGAATATTTCAATCAGCAGGTTGTCTTGGCAGAACATTTACAGCCGCCTTATCTCCAGGAACAATTAACTGCTACAATAGCAAGACATTTTTCTCCCAATATATCTTCTACTTTAGTAGGTACAAAAGACCTATTTTCTGCCGTAGATAGGCTAAGACAAGCATACCATTATTTTAGGAATAATAAAAAAAGATTCATAAATCAAAACAGTTTCAATCATGGGGGAAATGGTAAACCTAACACTTATACAAAACTTCATGTTAAGGGTAACAATTTTCAAAATAAAAAAATTGCTATTTTAAATGAAGTACAGGAGGAATGTTCGGAGAACTTCGAAAATCTCCCCAACTAGGCTCTGTTGAAGGGGAAGAAAAATGAAATGAGCCACAATTCATGTCAACAAATACCCTGTACAAGACCTTTCAGAAGAATGCGAATTTGAGCATAAGCCAGAAGATATTCCTTCGCCCATCATACATTTTTCTTTATATGGATACCAGTTTCCAGCTATGATTGATAGTGGCAGTAGTATTTCTGTATTGAGCGATACCGTGTAGGCTCAGCTAGCTGAGGTACACCGGATTATCCCTCATTTTTTATGCACAGGCATAAAAGTAGTGGGTGCATTTAAGAGTAAGTTCAGAAAAGTTATGAGCCAAGCTCTAGTCACTGTCACTGTCACTGTCAATTCTCACACGAGTTCCTAGTTATTCCACAATTAAGCTACCCAATCATTATTGAAGTTGATTTTTGAGGCTCTACTATGCAAAGATAAATTTAGCAGAAAAAATTATAAACTGTGAACTGTAATAATATAAAAATAAAAGAAAATATTTTGAAACATGATTATGGTAACCCAAAACCCATGAGTATATCAGTAATTATAAATGATACTCACAATAGTAAAGTAAGCTCTTCTCTTGTAAATTTAAATGTTGGTGAAATTGATGTTGGAAATGTAGCATCAAAGTGTTTTGGCCTGCCTGTGGATGAAAAAAATTCTTTTAGAGATTTGTTGTCTGATTATAAAATTATATTTTCGAATATACCTGGCAGGACAAACCTTTATGAACATGGTAAAAATGGGATATTATCGAACGGACAAGTACTCCATATATTTCCCCTCTTATGACCACCGTGAAAAAAACAAATGATATCCGCATTTGCCTGGATGCGAGACATCTTAACTCTGTTATTCAGCCTGACAGGAAGTTACCTTTAAGGATTGATGACATCATCAAGTCGTTGAATGGCAAAATATTTCTATCAAAGATTGATCTATCGCAAAGTTACTGGCAGATACCGATTCGACAGGAAGATGGGAAATATACTGGGTTTTTGGTTGGCACAAAAACTTACCAATGGTGTGTTTGTTCTACCTTATGGTATTTCGACTGCAGTAGCATCCTTCTCCAGGGCCATCGATACAATATTTGGAGCAGAATTTTCTAACTTCGTTGTAACTTATATTGATGACTTTCTATTTGCCTCATCGAGTGTGTCGCAGAACCTGGATCACCTGAAAAAGGTTTTTCAACGTTTGAAGTAGGGTGGCTCTACAGTGAACTGTTCGAAATGTCAGATTTTTCAGACCGAACTGCCTTTTCTAGGTTATATTATCTAACCTACGGGGTTTCGTTCAGATCCAGAGAGAGTGCAAGCAGTCGTGGACTATAAAATCCCACAAAGTATAATAATAATAAAGGATGTTCAGAAATTCTTGGGCTTATGTAACTATGATAGGTCGTTCACTCCTAACTTGGCTGTCTTATCAGAACACTTGACTTCTTTATTACGGAAAAAGAATTCCTGGAAGTGGAACCAGCCTCAACAAGAAGCATTCGAAAATTTAAAACATGAATCCAGATCCTGAACTTCCCTGACACGTCACTACAGATGCTAACGAGTATGGGATAGCACGACAACTTTTTCAAGTAAGGGACAATCAGAAATACCCTGTTGCTTGGGCAAGTCGTTTACTGTTGGATCGTGAGAGGTGGTACAGTTCCAATGAAAAGGAAGTTTTGGCTGCCGTTTGGTGTATCATCCGATGGAGGGGCTATTTGTTGGCATAAAATTTTTACCTTCATACTGATAGTCGTACTTTAACTCACCTCAACACCTGTAGGATACTTTCTCCTAGGATTACCCGTTGGACCTTAGTGCTTCAGGAGTATTCTTTTTGTGTTTATCACGTTCCTGGTCACGAGAATGTTGTGGCTGACGACCTCTCCCGTTATACCTGTGTTCGATTGCCTTCACCCTCTGACAACTGTTTCAGCATTTTTTCTTTAAAGCTTTCGGATCCATTTCTGAAAAAAAATGAAAAATGTGAAAAAAATCCAGTCCGAGGATAGTAAAATAACACAAATCAAGAATTCCCTTCTGGGTAATACAAACAACTAATACAAAAAGGTTTATCCTCCATAATGATATTTTGTACCAAAGAGGGTCCAGTCAGGAAAATGTTTTGCTATATGTCCCGACCTCGATGGTGGGAAAGTTCATAATGAATTATCATATTGCCATAGGGCATTATGGAGTTGATAAAACCTGGCTGGCCATGTGAGATGTAGTGTATCCCCCTAATTTACAGAGGATTATCAAAAGTTACGTGAAATCCTGCGATATTTGCCAAAGAGCAACAAATTTCCATCCTACCAAATCCCCCACAAAAGCAAATACTGCCAGAATCAAAGGATGATTTGCTTGCTTTAGATGTGTTGGCCCCCTAGTAAAGAGTCGTGGTGGTGTCTGTTTTATTTTCGTCATCTTGAACGTATTCACAAAGTATGTTACCCTTTACTCACTAAAGAAAGCCACTACGCGAGCCATGTTGAGTAGATAACAAAGGATTACTTCTTCCGCCATGCAAGGGTATAACGTATACTTTCAGACAATGCCTCACAGTTCACCTCGACGTTATGGAGAGACACCGTAACCTCACTCGGGATAAAATCAGGGTGTCAGTGCGACACCCTCGTGCTAACCCCTTGGAGAGGTGTATGCGGGAAACAGCCCGTATTTTAAGGACTTCATTCATATCACAATCATCAGACCAAATGGACTTTTGACTTACCTCTTTTCCAGCAATATATGAACTCTATCGTTCATGAGTCCACTGGGTTCACCCCCAAGGAACTTGAGTTTGGTGTGCATCGGGAAAAGCTACTACCCGATCAGCTGGTGCCACCTGTTGATATCAATATCCCAGCAGTAGATAAACTCGTTCTGACCAAGGAGACAATGGAGTCCAGGGCTAAGCTAGAGCAGTCATGTACCCGGGACGCCCCTATAGGAAGTTTATTCCTGGTGAGCTTGTTCTCTTGAGAGCGAAAGTTGAAACAAAGAAATCATTATTACTTTTTGAGGGACCTCATCGTTTTAAAAAATGTATTCGGGATAATACATACATTCTGCAAGGCTCGGATAGCGCCCGCAAAAGAGGAGTTTTTCACGCCTCGCACCTTAAAGGTTAAAACAAGCCGCCTTGGCGCAAGTTTTCCATTGTTCAGTGTTTTTTTTGCCTATCGTTTTGCCTTGTATCGGTTCGCCACCTGGTGAATTTTCTCGGTAACTTATCCGCCGCAGTGGAGGCTGATTCCGGTTGTTTACAGTTTTCGACCGCCCTTAATCATAAGTAGCAACGGCTCTCATGCCCTCCGGGATAGGCAACCGGGTTTTTTGCATTTGCAAAGTATTTTCAGTGTCGGGTTTTTTATGAACGACTGTCATGAGTCAAAATTCTTTTCTAGAGACCTGAGTGAAAACGTTTTTGATGCGCCATATTTGCTCGATTGTTTTAATATTTTTCTTGCTTGCTTTTTAAAGTGAACTTCGTTCTAAATTAACTTACTGTGGTCCTCAAGGACAAGATTCACTGTCGAGTCCCGTGTCTGTAATTATTTTAGGTGGGTAATGATTTTTATTACTATAAATGATGTAACACGTGTGTGAAGTTTTTATTAACTACTTTTAACAATTTTATTGAAACATTTGTAATTATTTTAGAACTAAGTCAACAACCAAATAAGTACTCTGTCTCCCCCTCGAACTGAAAATAGATTGTTTCGCACCTTATCCTGTGTCTCATTGGATCAGCAGCAACCCCTTTCAAAAAACCCTGAGATTGAACCNGATAACAACAGAGTATATATATTAAGAAAATTTGCACTTTTGTCAATACTTAACAAATATAAAACTTTTATTTATAATGTTTCAACATTTAGTTTTGACATTTTTAACGTAAAAAAATGCATTGAGGATGGTGTACAGTGTACCAAGCAACCCCGGAGGCTAGCTTTACTTTTTTTTGTTTTGCTACCAGCTGGCTTTTTCAGGAAACCTTCATTTAAATGCGAACGTTTAAAGGAAAACCGGAAAGAGGCAAAACACCCCCGGATATTATGCTAAGGGCGGTCAGAGCCGTAAAATTAGAAGGGCAATCTCTAAGATCTGCTGCCAGTGACTTAGAAATTCCATTCAACACGTTAAGAAGATATTGCTCCAAGTTTACACTAGAGGAACTGCAATCAGAAAGAGAAATGCCTTCAACAGTTATTGGATACTTCAAAAATACACAGGTAGGTTCTTTAAAAAATATACTTGATGATCTAGTTTCTAGTAAAATTTTGGTTTTAGATTTTCACTGAGTTTCAAGAGTCCAATCTCACAGATTACATTAAAAAAGCTGTCGATATTTACTATAGTCTTACGCCCAAAGGAGTGACGTGGTGTCAAAGAAGTGGGAAGAGTTACTTCGGCAGAACGTGGTACACTTGTAACTTTGGCGTGTTCTGTTTCTGCTGCTGGAAATACTGTGCCACCTTTCTTCATATTTCACCATGTTCATTTTAAGCCCCATTTTCTCAGAGATGCTCCGCCTGGAAGCGATGGAAGTGCCAATCTATCAGGCTGGATGAAAGAAGTTCATTTTATATAATATATCCAGCATTTTATTCAGTACTCCTAAGCGTCTAAAGAAAACCCTCTCCTGCTTTTGATAGACAACCACGATTCGCATTTATCTACCGAAGCACTAAATATCTGCAAATATCACGACGTAACAGTGTTATACTTTCCGCCTCACTGTAGCCATGAGCTCCAACCTCTGGATCGCAGTGTGTATGGACCGTTAAAGAAGTATGTCAATAGTGCTTGTGATTCTTGGATGACTAATCGTCCGGGTGCAACGATGACCATTTATGACATACCCAGTATTGTTCGTACTGCACTACCATTAGCGGCAACTCCAAACAACATTACAGCTG